GACTGTCGTGAGCATTAAATATTAATTCAAATGTTGGGTTAGTGTAGTCAAGTCCAGGCACTTGTTTGACAAAACATTCACCGGAATCACTTGCTTTCGTTTTACGGTCGAAAACCTTTAAGCCGAAAGAACAAAAATCATTAACATTAATGTATACATTATCGCTTTTGTATGGTACAGTGAAAGACACAAACAACAGTTCTATTTATCACAAATATGAGGTAACAAAATATATGAAACTTACTGGATCAATGACCGGTCGTTCCTTATTTTCCTTCATGGTAACTTTTTCCCAAATGTTCGCTCTTTGAGATGCTGTTTGGTATTCCCAAAGGTTTGCTTTGAAAATCTTTACCGTGAACCTGCCTATTCCAGCTTCAATAAAAGTGTCCAGTTTCAGTATCAATGGAATAAGTTCAATGTCAACAAACAGCCTAAAATAAATGTAATTCAAGTAATTAACTCTATCGAAACATTCAATATTTTTTGTATTTGTTTAATTGCAGATAGTTAATTCAGATACAGAATTTTATTTTCCAAGTTGGTTAGGTCAACTAGATCAACAAACTGATAATATGATTTCCTTATTTTTGTAATTAAACTTACCTTCGGCTTGGTGATCGTACAAACTGAAATTCAATGCCAATGGGTAATCTAACCGTAAGGATATCTCCAGTCAACACCATTGATGCATATAGACCCAATCCAACTGATACACTGCCTTCAGATGTGGCGCCACCAGAAACAAAGAGCTCGGCCTAAGAAAATACGCACATTAACTTAAAAAACTGTATTTACCACTATTATATTATCATTTTTTCAAAAACATTTTATATTATTAGTTTTATGCGCATGGATTTTGTTGTGTCCTAGTCATATCATTCCCAAGAATTGTTATTGCTCTCCATTACCTTGGCTTTGAACTTGAGTACACTGATATCAACACATACACCTGGCCCCACAAATCCATATGCTCTGAAACCTATAATAAAGAACCCATAACATGGTTACTGTATTATAAAATATATTATGCCTACACATAAAAAGCGAAGCAGGCCTTCTGACAGCGGTTTCTTGTTTATTATTAAATATTTTCAAGTAGTTGCACAAGCAAATAATACAAACATACATATTGTCTTGCCATATTGATTTCCAAGTGCATAGATTAAGGATAATGATTTGTGTTTTCATACAAAAATTGCAACCATAACAAAATAGGCCTATGAAATTCTAAGTAATAATCGCAATTCCGTATTTATGTGTGAATCTGGCCAAAATGATGTGAATAAATTATGTAGATGAATGGGATAACTTTAGGGTCCACGAAATGATCAGTGATTTTTTTGAAGTGTTTTTTTAAAAGTGTGTGACATCATTTTGGAACTTATAATAAATTGATAAATCATACACACAGTTCTACTTACCAAAGCTCATCTGGACCATTCCGCCTAAAATATGAGTCCAACTGAGGTCAAAAAACGTTTTCACATTAATTTTTAAATCTTTACAAGTCTGGAAACGATAGTCAAAATCTGTCAAAATCTTGTCAACTGCTTTACCAATTCTAGCATCAATTTTGCTGATCAGCTTCAAAAACAAGATATATCGTAACATTTATTGACAATTTGCCAAAATTTCACAATTTACTAATTTGCATAAAAGAAGTGCCTATTTGCCAGTTTGAATATCAAACACAATACATGCAAAGACAGCAAAACAATTAATTTGGCATCACCCACATGGTAAATCATAAATAATTATCCTCTTGAGAAAATAAAGATGTGAAATTCTCTTGACACAGGCGTTGCACTTTAACTAAAAAATAACAACAAAAATTTCAACTCCAAGTTAGACTCTCATTAAATTAGTGTAATGGAATATTCCTGCAGCACAACTGATACTTAACAGAGAGATGAAGTTGCTGAGAGATGCAGATTGTGTATGATTATAGAGTAATTGCTCTCTGAACTGGATAAGAAACTATATCAATGGTACAGGAAATTTTTCAACAGATCTGTGGTTTACCCTGACGTTAACTTTCTTAAACCAACCACATTAATAGTGGTTCATATGTGTGTAAGTATATGTTAAACGTATATATATACGTGTATACGTGTATATATATATATATAT